CATCAGATTAGCAAAAAAATGCACGAGAAAATGCAAAGAATATTAAAAAAGTGATGCTAAACGCGGTGGCGTATCCGTAATTAATCGGAACTTTTCTGTCATCGCAAAAAGTGCATCAGATTAGCGAAAAAGTGCATCAGAAAAAAGCAAATGTGAAGCTTCTCACTTCTCACGTTAAGATATCTTCTTATTAGAACTCAACCCTATATATATATATATATATATATAGGGGAGGGTTCAAATACAAAGAGGTCTTCCCATGCAAAGTAAGAATTAATCTCGTGCGTTCATTTCGAGATCTAATGGCTCAAAATGAGCCAAAAGTGAACTAAATTTGATCAAAAACGCGGTGGCAATTTCGTAATTAAAACGAGGTTTTTTGCCATCGCGAAAAAGTGCAACAGAAACACGCAAAAGTGCAACGCGGTGCTGAAAAAGTGCAATTGTTTGCACTTTGCACGGGAGAACGTCTTTTTATTTGATCTCTTCCCTATATATATATATATATATATATATATATATATATATATATATATATATATATATATATATATATATATATATATATATATATGTATATTGACTTATAGATGGAGAGCAACACGTGGATAAGCATTCTTAGTTTTATTTTGTTTTCAAACACTTATAAGAATTCATTAATTATTACTCATTTTTTAATTACGGAAAACAAAAAATAACCAATCAAATAAATTATTTATTTTTCAATAGTAATGAATATATGACTAAAATAGAAGCGGTTGATAAAATGTGGCTTTTTATACTCATTAAAAATGTTTTTACTTGGAGTGTTTTAGTCCCAAATCAGATTTAAACAGATCAGACTAGATTAAACAGACTAGACCAAACCAAACTTTCATAATTTTGAGATACACTAGAGAATTATCAGATCACACCAGACCAATTCAGATCAGAACATATCAGACTTAAACATACCAGACCAGATTAGATCAACAAATTTCAATCCAATTAAAAATATCCTAAATATAAAAAGAATGGTGCATTTAATGATTTGATCATGTCCGATTTTTGTTCCATAATAACTGTGTGGTTATACTTAGAGTAACTTTAGTATCACTTTTTATAACCTATATTTTGATAATATTTAATGAAAAATTATCTTTTCTTAACATGATAATACAAATAACAACACCGTAAAAATAACCACAATATATTAATAGTTTATCACCATCATCGTGTATATACCGTATATATAGTATTACCTTCGTTTTTATGACATTGATACAAAAGATGAAGGTGAAGTTATAAAGAAAAATGAATTTATGTGATTGATATTGAATTGGTAAAGTGAGAATAATTTTGAATCATACAAAAATTATTAAATTTGGTATGTGACAATCTTAGTGGGATAGACCAAAAAGAAAAAAACGAGATAATCTTAGTGAGACGTAGGGAGTATCATATATGCCGCAAATGTTACCGCAAATAATTTTATAATAACACACGATAACAGTAATTAAATTTGTATGCTAATAATAACATAATATTATGTAACTTTTTTTTGTGGTTTCATTGTTTTAAAAAATATGATATTACTTTAGTTTGCAAAAATGTGTAAATATATGTGGAGTATCTTTTATTTTATATATCTGTAGAATACTTTTACACAAAAATCTTAATTTGTTGGCTAATCAGTCTCTCATGTGTAATATTATTACAATAGTAACAATAATATTAATAATGGTAATAGTATTGATACAATGATACTGTATCTATTTAAAATTATATAAAGGTAAAGGTCTTGATCATTCTAACAATGGTAATATATTTTTATGGCATGGGAATATATAACATTATAAGCTAACCTACAAAATTGTTGCTCTTTCGGGATCCAAAATTGGCATCTAATCATTGACAAAAAAAGAAATTAATTTTAGTGGTGAAAACCATGCACATCACCCTATAATACAAATGGCACTATTTTTTTCATCGTACGTGATATAAAAGAAGATATACATAAAAAAACATCCACATCACCCTATAATTTTTCTTATTTATAGAGAAAATATATAGATTTTTTTGTGGTAGAAAATATATAGATATAATTAGCATCGGTAATTACCGATAAACAAGTAAATTGAAATGCTTTTAGGGATTCATTTTTACCTAAAGTCATAGCCGGTGGGATGAATAAGCATGTTTTTAATTTAATTTATTTTAAATCCGGATCAAATCAGACTTAAACAAACCAGACAAGATTAGACTCAAATAGACCAAATCAGACCAGACCTCGACAGTTGTAAACACAAAGATCAAACATCTATCAGACGAGATCAGTTTAGACTTGACAAGACCAGATCAGATTAGACTATATCAAACAAATTAGACCATATTAGATCATAATAACCAGACTAGACAAGACCAGAATTTTTCGTTCCATGTAAAAACATCCTAAGGAAGCTCTAAAATACAAAAAGAACAATACTAGCATGTGAGCAAATACTTTTATTAACACATGAGTATAATGTTTAGTAAAAATTAATGCTTATACTTTTGAGGTATAGAATTGATAATACCTAGTAAATGTATCTCTATTTTCATCTTCATAAGATATAAAGTGACAGAATGATTACTATTATTGGAAGGAAAATTGCCCTTGATCACATCGAGGGAAAAAATCGTTAACTGCAATGTGACAGAAAGATATTCATGTATATGTCATTATCGTTAAATTATATCTATCACAATACAATGTAATATTAATCAAGTTATTACCAACGCACTCTAGATATATCTCGTGCATCGCACGGTCATTTGTCTAGTTATATTAATTTCAAGATCGCGGTACAATGAGGTAAATCGCAAACAATAGAGTAACCCCTCTAAAAGAGTGAGACTTATCATATCATCATTATCATTATCCAAGTACCACAAAGGCTCCCACCTATGGTGGGTAAGAGGAGGTCGGATGTACACAGTCTTACTCCTGTACTTAAGTTCAAAGAGACTATTTCCGAATGACCCACAGTGAAAATCGGTTCTAAAATTGCACGAACTCACTGTTGCTTCATAATAAAGAAACCCAAACAGTTTAGTGAGCTCATTTGCTTTATTCCATCATATTCTCAAGCCCGAAAAGAGCGAGATTAATCGCTGAAAATGTGAGAGTTTCGAGGATATGAACGGCTCAATCAGCCTGATTGTCTCTATACTGAAATCTATCCACTAAAACCAACAAAAACATCAACAAACCCCCCTTATTATTTGTCATAAAAATAACAAAATAGAAATAGTAAAACAACCCGGACTGAAAATAACAAAATATAACGAGTAAAACATTCTTCCAAACCCTAACCGCACAGTTCCTCCATGGTGGCGATTTAGGAGGGGGACGAATCATCATCTATTTGCTTTCTTTCTCCAACACCTGACTCTAGACTTCTCCGTGCCACATCGGCCATCTCTCCATTGCAAGCTGATCTCTGCCCTTCACATCCAACAAACAACCCCAGGCGGCCACCCACCGATTTGGCCAAAACAATCGCGTCGTTCGCCCACCCAACCGACTGGAATTCAAGTTTTCCCCTATCACCAGACTCCAATCCACCATTGTTCCATCCGGATCAACACACAGCTGGTGCAGCTTCCATCTCAATAACCAACAAAGCCAGAATAGCCAAAACAAGTATCGGAAAATCAAGCCTCGTAACCCTAGTCGACGCAAGTCCGCTGCCTCCTCTCAAATCGCTGACCACGATTGACATCACAACAAATCCCAACAACACCTTCCCCTATTGTTTCAGCCTCGTTACTTGAGACTCATACAACAACTCCCTTAATTTGTTCGCTCGGTTTTTCTTACTCTGTTCGCCGCTCAAACCTTGGCCAACAAGTCAGCAACTACTCCGTCCAAATCAATTCGCTCGGACCAGAACGTTGGGGAAGATGGATCCCAAAATCGCACCACATGGAAATCTCCCAAACTTCCCACACCCCTCTTCATGAAACGCCTCAAAACCTGTTTATTAACCTTTCATGGGACACGACGCCGCCGATCCTCCAAAGCTTGCCCTAGTCGGAGTAAAACCGTCGCTAGGCCCGTCCGCTTTCTTGTGATTAAAACCCCAAAATAAAAAAATAACAAACTTGAGTCTTTATTTACCATGTTTTGTTAAACACAAGAGTTGTTGTTTAATAAAACGTCAACTAAATTTATTAGTTACCACATTTGAACGTGATTAAAAATGAGCAGATAAAAAACATGCTACATATCAAATTTTATTTATTTAATGATATACTACTTCCTTCTTTTTTTATTCGGTTTAGAATGGTATGTTTAAGTCTAGTCTAATCTGACATATATCTAGTAACTGTGTATTTTAAAATGTCAAAAAATGGCACTGTTTGATCTGATTTGATCGATTTAAGTAATAAGTATGATACAATCCTCCGTTTTTATTTAGATACAACGTACCTTCGAGACACACAAATTAAGAAACAGGGATAAAATAATACTTTTCCCCTTTATACGCTTCTCCAATTAAAAACAAACATTTGAAGACCTTATAAAAATCGTACAGTTTATAAAGCAAATGTTTTACAAAAAGTACAAGATTACAAACAGTTACCGTGCCAAAAGTGATCGGTCACTTACTACTTTTACAACTCTATCATCCCAAAATCAAAAATACTTTTTTGTACATACTTTTTTCAAAATACTCCCTCCGTCCCGTTGGAATGTTTCCAATTTGATCTACACATATTAAGGAAATAAACTTACCAGTGGGTAAATTTTACCGTTTTGACACTGTTTCGACATTGTTTGGCACTGTTTCGACACTATTTTGCACTGTTTGATCCTGTTTTGATGTAGAATAACTTTCCATTTAGAGAAATGAGAACTTTACAACGAGACATCCAAAAAAAGAAAGCTAGAACATTTCGACAGGACGGAAGGAGTACATGCAAAGTAATACGATAGTAATATTAATTATTAATAGTAAGCCATCTAAACAAGGCACAAAAGATTTCAAAAGGCCCATTCCAACTCGCACAAAAATATTCGCCTCCATCAATATAGTATATCTACACTTTTTGTTCTTGTTGCCTCTGCTTCCAGAGTTGTATATAAACAGAAGAATTACGGAGTATAAAATTGTGTGGATGTATGCGGGCAGGTATGGCGGTTTCATTGTCTCTTTCGTCATCGGCGGAAGCTATTTCTAGCCCCAATTTCAATCTGAGGTGTTCAGAGACGTCGTCTTCGTCATTGAAACCGATCAGAGCTGTTAATCTTTGCGATAATGCTTGTCCGAAGTTAAGCTTGAGTGTTGCCTGCACAACTGCCCCGTCGTTTCGGTCCAGAGTTTCTGCACTGTCTCGCGAAGGCCTGTCCGGCGGTGGTGGAACAGGCGGGGAAGAGCAGGCAGATGATATTTTTCCCCAACACGACACAAATGGAATTGGGTTACTTTCTGAAGGGGCGCTTTCTTTTTCGCTGGTAGTAGCATTTATACATTTATTTATAGCTTGAGCTGTTTTTTATTGTCTGTTTAAACGATATGCTTCCCTTCTTCTTAAGTTCATGGCCACATTCTCCTCAGTTCCTAAAACCAAAATAGTTAAATAGAGATGTAACTTTGGACTTCTTCACATCTCCCTTCATCAGCAGGGTTCCGCAAAAACTTATCTGTCCCATAAAAGAGTCACATTTAAACAAATTAAGCCAATTTTCATTATATGCAATGCATTAAATTTGAAAATTTCAGTTAGAATTTAATGATTTCAAATAGTTGTACCTCAATAAATTTTAAAAGGTTTACCCTTGTGAATGAAGAATTGAAGACTCTTTAGAGGTGGAAGTAGTAATTGTTATTTGCCAATAGACACTTAATTTTATGTACTTGTGTAGTCTTCGTTCTGTTGTTTTTGGAATAATAAGAATGTGAAAAATTGCATCATAGTAATTGAAACATATAATGGTAATTAGCCAATTAGGGAAAAGGTAAATACGCTGTCTTGGGAACAAAAAAGTTGACAACAGTGACAACAGTTCAGGAACAGAGAAGTACAATAGTTCATCTTCAGTTGTTTTCATTTTGTATGAATTTGCTGTCTCTTCTATACATGTTGCTTTCTGACGACACAACGACAGTTACGACACTCATAGGTTGAATTTAAAGATTACAACTTTGAGCGTGCTCATCTCACCAAGTAAACTTTGGAATTGCTTTTATGCATGCACATGCTTTGGCTGATATTAATGGCTTCAGCGGCTATGTGAAGTTCGATTGTACTTATTCTTGCTATCTTGAAAAGTTGCAAGCTCATGGTTGCATTCTTTTTAAAGCATTTTGCACTGCCATGTTTTGAATTTGTCATGAAGTTTGTGGGGGTGTTCACTCTTTCTCTTACGGAACCATTGTGTGTTTAACCACCTCTACCTCTTTGTTACTTTGGGCGGGAAAAAACACTATCATACTTCATTTAATCTTTGTTTGCTTATTGTCGTTAACAGAACATGAACACTATTATTGAGGGATCAGGGATATTTTGATCTCTGAATTGTATTAATGTAAAAAACTATGTTGCTTTGATGAAGAATGTGTCATTTTATGCACCCAAACAGTGAACCAGGCATTAAAAACTCTTAGTTGCAATAACAATCACTTGAACTACCAAAGAAGGAATAGTAAGATAAATTGCTCGTTTACTAGCTCGTAAGCATTAGATATTGTAGTAATGGTACTGTTGAAAACATACACGTAAATAGAAGCTATAATATTTGTTGTGTTCATACATGCCTTTCCCTGATCGTCTTTTAGTGGAAGTGTCAAATAACTATTCCAGCCTTGTTGTGATGGACTTTCTCATATTCTTAAGGGTTATATTGATGGGAAACAAACAAGCCATGAACATAATATAAATGAAATACCGAAAAGGATGATGCCCCTTGGAGTCTCACTTGGAAGCACAACGGGGGGAGGAGGTACAAGAGCTGGGCTTTTCAGGGCCCCAATATCAGGCGGCGTACAAAGTGCTACCTCAGCTCATGGTCTGCACAGACCTGCTTTAGCAGTCCGCAATCTAATGGAGCAGGTATGCTTTATTTCGGTTTGGTAAGGGTTGTTTGACTGAATTGGCATGGCCGAGTCTGCTGAATTTTTTGAAAAGAGATGTATTTGGTAGCATCTATTTAGTCAAATAAGCAAGTGAAAAGCTACTTATGATGCTAATAAGAAGAATAATCCTTAGAAGGCTTCCAACCGGAGCTTTAGATTGGAAATTCTCAGAATAGCCTAGTTACACTTTCCACTCCTTGCATTGCAATTTTGCAGGCCAGGTTTGCTCATTTATGCACCTTAATGTCTCGAATGCATCATAGACGAGAAGGTTATCCATTTGGTTCACTTGTTGATTTTGTTGCCGATCCTATGGGGCGTAAGTGACTACAACTTGTGACACATCTCTACGCAAACAAACCTTGTCATGACTTGATTATGCTCTATTCCAATTCTTTGATTCCTGTTGGCAGATCCGATACTTTTATTGTCACCGCTAGCTATACACACCCGAAACTTGTTAGGTGACCCAAGGTGTACACTAGTTGTCCAGGTTAGTGATTACACCAAACATTTAAGGTGTGTCTGGTTTGAGGGTGGGGGAGGAGAAAAATTAAGCTCCCCTTCCATCCATTTTTTTTAACCAAATAAGGGAGAGGTAAGTCTTTGCTCCTCTCTTTCCCTCTCGAGTCAAATCCACCCTTAGATTATATAGAGTATGTATTGTCCTTGTTGGTCTAGTGGTATGATCTTTTGGTTTTACAGGTTCCTGGATGGACTGGCTTGTCAAATGCTAGAGTAACTATGTTTGGTGACATCTACCCTCTTTCAGAAGATCAACAGGTAGATAGTTAAATTTGCAATGCATTTTCTTGAATTTGTTATCTTCTTCTCTACAAAAGAAATGAAAATTTGGTGTGGTATTAATTATTTGTGCATAAGCATATTTATTGTCATTTTTGTCTTTCTCTCATTCTATTACTGCTTTTAAGCCTGTGTATACACATGTCCTGGTGTCCTGGATGTCTTTCTAGGAGTGGGCTCATAAGCAATTCATAATGAAGCATCAACAAGGCCCTTCTCAACAGTGGGCAAACTTTTGTTACTTTAGGATGAACAATATAAGGTTTGTAAAACTAATGAAGAGCACATGCTGATCTTTAAGCTACAGATCCGGTTTCATGATTCTTAATTTTTTTTGTTATGCTTGTAATAACTCTCACTGGATGTATCCCCAACACCAGTGATATATACTTCATAGGAGGGTTTGGAACGGTTGCTTGGGTTGATGCCAAGGAATATGAGACCCTAGAGCCTGACAAGATTGTTGTTCAAGGTACTGAAAAATACCTACAGGTACGCTTTATTTTACGTGCTGCACAGATCTTTATTATACTCCCTTCATCTTTTATCTTACTCCCTCCGTCCCTTATAACTTTGCCAACTTTCCTTTTTTGGTTGTCCCAAAAACTTTGCCACTTTCCATTTTAGTTAATCAATTTGTGGCTCTCGTTATTTCTCTCTCCTCTACACAAATATCTACCACACAGTTTTTACTTTATTATTCTACGTGCCGGTCAAACTTGGCAAACCTTTAAGGGACGGAGGGAGTATTTTTTATATCTCTATCTTATCTTTATATTGTCTTTTTTATCGTTTTTTAATCTTAGGATGTTTTTACTTGGACTGTAATTCGTCCCAAACCAGACCAGACCAGACCAGACTTGGATAGTTATAAAAATACAAAGAAACCAGACCAGACCAGTTCAGACCAGATCAGACCAGCAAATTACAGTCCAAGTAAAACCATCCTTATCTTATTTTTTTTATCTTTTTATCCTTTTTAGCTCCGAGTTCATATATCGATTCATGTTAGCCGACCCCAAACTCTTTTGGGACCAAGGCTTGGATGTTGTTGTTTTTGATGTTTTAGGATGTTGGTTACAAAAATTGTGAACGGTTTAGATACCTGACTGTATCAAATGATTAAATCAAACATTTTCTTTTTCATTAGTTGTTTCTAAAACATCAATTTATTAACAACAAATGAAAAGGTCAAATATGAAGTATAAAAGAAAAAGGTGAGAATATATTTTATTTTATGTTTGGGCATAATCCATCCCTAAGTGCAATTGATTTTCCCAATTTATAAGCATTGTTGTTAGATCTCGCCAAGCCCCAATTAGTGTTATAAAAAGCATTAGCCTACCTCTAGACAGTAGGTTGAGATAGCGCCTAGCTTGCATATGTGGGGTTTAGGTGGACCTAGGTGATGCCCAATCATGAGATTGAAAATCCTTGGTAGTGGTAAATTTGGCTGACAAGTAATGTAAATATTCTTAGTACAATAAAGTTACACACACACCCAAATAAAGATAAGTGTCATTTTGCGATTCTTTTTTCGTTGAACTGTTTTAGCTCTGCACGGTCAAACACATTGGTGTTTGAGAAAAAAAAATGGCTGCTGTGATAAATAAGCAGAACTGTGGCACGATCATTGTGATGCTAAATTGTGGCAATAACCAAAGTGACTCATTTTTTTGTTGCGGTCTTGGTTTATTTACTGACTTGAATCCCTGATCTTCCAAAATTAAAAGAGAACTGCTGAGTGATGTTTGCTATGCATACAGGAACTAAATGCGGTGTTTTCAAAGCCCCTAATAGAGCTATTGTCCCAAGAAGCTGAGGTGGATGATGTGGCTCTCATATCAATAGATAGTAAGGGCACTGATATCCGTGTCCGTCAAGGGGCTCAGGTACTTTATATATTCGCTTGGTTCTGTCAATTCTTTCACTAAATAGTGCCCCTGAGAGGTGTCCAGACCGTTAGTTGGACTGCCCGCCCACACAGACCTGGTCTGGTTCCAAACTGGCCGGATCTAAGTCCTTAAAAGTGTTGAACCGTAACCGGGTATACTCAGTCCAGTTCTGGTCAGTTCTGGGGTTGGTTCTTTCCAGTCCTTGGGTCGGTTCTGAAGCTATCATATTTAAAAAGACGGAACCGGCACGGTCCCGTTCTATTTTGGAGGAACTGGACTGGTTCTTTCCGAAATGGTTTTTACGATTCTGACTCTGGCTAAATAACCAACCGGTCCCAGTGCGGACTGGTTGTGAAACATAGGTGCCCAAACTCGATCCAGTGATGGACCACCCACTCACTCGGGCACCATCTGTAAGCATATTTTCTTGTTTGAATCGCATCTGTTTGTACCATCATATCTGCTTTTAAATATTTGGAGATCTGCTGCAGTTCAACATTCAGAGGATGTCATTCGAAGCAGAACATTCAATTGAAACGCTTGAGGAAGCCAAAGAAGCGCTCTGGAAATTGATTGATACAGGCAAACTCTACCATTTGCAGAAGTGAACATCTGCCCGAAGTTTTGTGGCATTTAACACTTATATATGGGAAGATGACGCTTTTAACCCCTGATCAAGTGAACTTATATTTAATAGAGTAGTGACGCTACTTCTGCTCTGGGTTTGGTGCCAGGCTCCAACAGGCAATAACAGAGTTGTCATAATACAATGGAAAAAGGCTGAAACACGCTAACCATTTCCAGGACTCAATTGTAATTTTAGCAACATAATCTTATTTTTCACACTAGAGTATACTTTACACTTCATGGTAAGGAGATTGAATACAATAAGTCAATAATCTTATGATTTTATCTTGTGATTCAATAAAATCATCTGCAAGTATGCAACCATCAGCTTTACAACCAATCGCCTAAGAGAGAATTCCCCAAATAGGAGCAAAACATAGACAAAATGCAAAAATAGGAGTACCATGTTTTGAATAGGAGTAACTTTAGTGTTTGGACAAGTATACCCCTACCCAAGTCCCAACAACTTTTAATTAAATGTTTAATTCTTAATAAATTCGAAAAAAATTCAAAAAATCGTAGAAAAATAATTAATTTTTTTATAAAATATTAATAAAATAAAAATTAAAAAATATAAAATTTTTTTAAATTTTTTTAAAAAAAAATTAATAAAAAATAGTAAAACTCCATAAAAAAAATTAAAAAAATATGGATGCCTTTCCCACCGCTTGTACTACCTCCTTGCACCACCACCTCCGGGCGGTGAAAAAAAAATCATTTTTCCTAAAAACTGTCTTTTTTTCTGAAAATGTCAAAAACATGGCATATTTCTCTTTGCGAATGCTAACATTTTCATTGTTTTCTGCCATAAATATGGCATAAGTAATGAACTTGGCATTTTTCCCCTGATGACGGGAGGTGGTGGTGCTGAGGCGGCAGAGGCGGCGGTGAATTTTATTTTATTTGTTTGAGTTTTTTATTTTTTTTTTAAAAAAAATCTATATTTTTTTATTTTTTGAAAAATAAATAAATAAATAAATTATTATTATCGAATAAGTCATAGATTAACTAGGTTAGGATTAAATAAGTCATATTTTAGAATTAACTAGGTTAGGGATATTAAGGGAACAAAATTAATGTTTACTCCTATCGAAGGAAGTTTTAAGTTTTACTTCTATTTGTGCAATTATGTTTATATTAACTCCTATATTGGGCAATTTCTGATCGCCTAAACAATCTTAACTTCAATGTTGTTCTGTTTTAGAGAATGAAAATGTTATTTTCTTGAGATTTTGGCGTTTTGAGGCTCTTTTTTTGAAAATGATGAGGTCAACGCAAACTGAAAGGATGGATTCCAGACTGGAAGAAGAATCAACCCAAAATCTATAACACGACATTACTATATTATCAAGATCACAAACATACATTACCTTACAACATTATCAATACAATATTATCTACATGTAATAAGTGCGTATTCTAATATTCTTCATGACTGGAGGATGCCTAAAAAAACAAGAAGGGCGGAGAAGGGTGAAAAGTGACAGTCCCATCTTTGAATGGACCCTGTACCGGTCTCAGGATCTGTTTGGGACCGGATTGCCCGGTTCTTGGATCGACTGGAACCACTAGAGGCGGTTCAGTTAGGACACCGGCCCCGGGTGGTTCACGGAGACTCAGAGCCGGCTTTGGGCCCCAGGAAGGTAGGCAATTGCCTAGGGCACCACTTGAAGAGGGGGCACCAGTTTTTTTAACTTGTATTGCTAATAGTGTAATACATAGTATGTATTAGTTAAAATGAATATATAGCATTGAAAATTTGGAAAACACACTAAGAACATTAGTTTGAAAAAGTCCCACTGACCAATCACCCATACGGCCACATCCTATTAGGCTATTATTATTACTCATATGTGTGCTTAACATCATTTCACATTTGGTTTTGAAATTCTTTATGTATTGGAGAATTACTATAAATAGGACTAAAAACGTTTACATATTTTAAAATGGGACTATCATGTTTTAAATTCTAAAAAATAAATAATTACTGCCATGTTTTGACAATATCGGACTTTAAACATGACAATATTTTCCCAACTTGACATTAGTTTCTCCTATTCAGGGAATATAAACATGACAATCATATTTTATAATTCTCAAACATTTTTACTCCCTACTTCAAGAATTTTCCCTTATCTATTCATACTTCGTTTAAGAATTACATTTTCGAATACTTTATATCATTTGCAAGTTAATTATTACCTTTTCTAATCGGTTTTGCATACATTCAATAGGAATCACATCCCTTCAATTGTTAATGACTTTGTATTTTATTTTATTTTTTATTTAAAGTATTATCTAAAATTCATTCTTTGTCTGGGGCACCAAAATTTCCAAAGACGACCCTGGGGAGACTGGTCCTAGGCTGCAATATTGGGATCAAGAGTGGCTGTTTGGGTCCATTTTTTTTGCATTTCGACCTTTGGAAGCATTTTAAAGGAGGTCAATTCATTTAAAAGCTAAAAGAAGGTTGGTAGGTACGGCACCGGGTGAAGGGTTAAATGGTTTAGTATTTCCTAACGACAATTTTGAAAAAGATCTGCTCCAAGCCGGGAGGGTTTGAAAAACAAATCGGGACCAATCGACCCCTCAAAACCGGAAATAGAAGTTCCAGTCCCGGTTCCCATCTCCCCCTCCTCAGGACCCGGACCCGGACCGGGTCCACGTGTAACAATAATTGTTAGTTTCTTCTATTTTAGGTGTCCGGAAGTATGAGTACATGTGTACTACGTATTATATTATTATTATTTAAATATCTTAGAACATACATAATATAAATAATTAGGGAAAGATGGATGCTGAATTGGAACTAGGGTTGGATTCGGTTCGGGCCACCCGGCCCGTGACCCGGCCCGGCCCGGTACTGTGCGGGCCCGGGACCGGCCCGGTCGGGCGGTCCGGGACCGGGTATGGGCCCGAACCGGTGGGAAGGGGCGGGGCGGGCTCGGTGCTGGAATAATGTGACCCGGCCCGGCCGGGTCGGGCCCAGGCCCGGGTCCGGTCTGATTTAAAAAAAAAAAATTATTTGGTTGGGCTACTAGCCGTTGGGGGTGGGGGTGGGGACAACCCAAACGGCTATATAGCCGTTGGGTGGGGTAAAGGGGGGGTCCGGGGGGGTTGGCTGGTGGGGGGTGGGGGGTAAAAAAACCTATAAATACTCCTAATCTTAAACATTTTTTCATATCTCTTCTCCAATTCTTCCTAAATCCTATTCTTAACTCTACTCTCTAATTCTCTTATTCTCCAATATATTATATTTATTATTTATATATCTACTTTATAGTTTATACTTAAGAAGTTAAGATGGAAAATCAAGATGCCATTATACGGTATAATTTTGATAAGCAGAAGGACCCGAAGACCGGGATGTGGTACGCAATTTGCAAATGGTGCGAGAAAAAATGTAGCATGGGGGCTTCAGGCGGATTCGGGATGGCAATCAAGCATATGAAGTCATGTGACAAAGCCAAAGGATCGGGAGGTGCGGGAAGTTCCGATTGATTACAATTTTCAAAATGTTTATCTCTTAAAGTTTGTTTTAATTTTCAAATGTAGTTCCTATTTCATTTCAAATAAATGCAATTGAAGTTTGTTTTTAATACTCGTATAAAACTATAAACTATAAAATATAAATTATATAAAAAAAAATTAACCGGCCCGGCCCGAACCGGACCCGACCCGTGACCCGGGCGGGTGGCCCGGCCCGAACCGGACCCGCCCAACCCTCGAGCCGGTCCCGGACCCACTATTCTTGAACCGGCGGCCCGACCGGGCCTAGGCCCGGCCCGGGCCCGACCCGAATCCATCCCTAATTGGAACTGGCCAATTCCGATAGCGTGTTGGACTTGTTTTAGGTGCTGATTCCAATCACTAAAACCTGATATCAATCCGCTCATAGAACCGCAGGATTCAATTACACTGCAGTCTCATAATCGAGTCCACCCCCAAGTATGCACAAATTATACCGTGAGATCGACCGACCGTGCGCATAGTGTGCCGAATGCCGATCACAAAATAGGGTCACTTTATTAATTAAAACCAACAACTTTAGTCGTAGCCACAATTGTTCTGTACCTATCCAAAACATCGATCATCTTCGGCCGTAGCCGCAAGGACCACCGACACAGGTAAATCAAAGAGCAATACCAGACTGGAGCCACTTCATTCATCACGCTCTTCAACCGCTAGTTATAGAACTTTCTTCAATCTCACGCATAACACTTCTGTAATTTACACACAAGCGACACAATCCTTTTATAATTGAAAGCAAATTCTTTTTGTTTGATTTAACATCTAATAGGTTGCGTATGAATCAAATTCAGATTAATACTTCGGATAAATTTCTCCATTCAGATTAATCTAACAGACTTTGATCGCTGGAGTTAATTGGTTTTTATATATAATAGAGTTACATCTTCATATACATCATTTACATCTTATACGCAAGTTACATTTGAACTTGTCTCAACAAGTTACATTTTGCATACATTTTGGTTACATTTTTCATTACATGAGTAAATTACAAAATAAACCCCTACTACAGAAACGAAAAAAAATGAATCTTTATGTCCCTGATATTAAAAACAAAACATATTCACTATTTACCGAAAATAATTGAACAATTAGACTCTTTTTTCATTGTTTACATTGAGATTAATGTTTTATTGATTAACCCCGTATTGGACAAGTTACATTTGGATTAATCTTGAGTTACATTGTTCATCAACATGAGTTACATTTGTTTACACACGAGTTACATCACCTTGCTATTGAAAAAAAGTTTAAAAAGCAATCGGAGACTGATTTTTTAAAAAATACTCCCTCCATCCCGAAAAGGTTGGACAAAGTTGATTTTCACATGGATTAGTAAAGTAAAAACTGTGTGGTTGAAATTTGTGTAGAAGAGAGAGAATTAATTTTAGTTACATATTCCTTACTTTAAATAGAAATGACAAATCTTTTTGGAACATCCAAAAAAATAAATTTGGTCAAACTTTTCGAGAGGATGTTTTAAAAAAAATTGTTAAAAAGTATTGGGAAACTCCCACGGTAACAGGAACTGCTAAGTATGCAGTTTGCAGGTCCCCCAATGGAATTGCCATACTTTCGTTAAGTCTGATGGATTTTGGCAAAAAGTGCCGTTCAGTAAACAACATGACGTGTTCAACTTAGTATGTTTGTCAATAGAACAAAACAGAACACTAATCTTTTGACTTGACTTGTAACTTAATTAGTTAAAATATTTTCCTACACGCTTCTTTACTTCCAGGATTCCTTATAAATAACTCTCAAGCCCCCCAGCATATCGAAAATCGAGATTTTAGTGAACATATGCATCCATGAAACTTTCCAATTTTAGATTCAGAGATTTTAGCTGATCTTCTAATGGGAGGACAGAGAGTTAAGTTACAAATTTGCCCCTACTGTTGAGTGTCAAACTTTCATCTCACAAAAATATAACATAACACAAAAAACCGGCACACAATAACTACACCGATCATCTGATCTTTATATTTTTTTTAGTTTGTATATCTGAGATTCAAACTGAACTTGCAACTTTTTACCTATTCAAAGTCACAAGTTCATAAAGATTTACATACCCACACAGTAAGGGGAAATCCTAATAATAAAAAAACTCTCAAAATTGAAACTGATTTCTTCCTCAAATTGTGAATATTTTGATAAAGGTTCATAAATTCAACTTAGTTCTCCACATCTCTCCCAAAACCTTTTTTGGGGCAGGATCTTCCGGCCCTCGGTCTCGTTGTCCAGATGTATAATATAACCACCCATCCCAGAATCCGACAAGAGTGGTTTTCACACGATAAGGCAATTTCCCAACCACCTCCCATTTCTGGCGAAGTTAACAAATCATGGTTAGAAATAGTTCAAAAAACACGGTGTTTCATTTAAGTATCTATCACTATAAAAGAAAGGGACCTGTGTGTCGAATTGAAACCTAAACACTTCTCCAACAAGTATCATCCTTTTGGTTTCTGGGTGTTTCTCGGTTGTTCCTCCGACGATGAAAAGTGATCTGTTAACTATTGTCCAGGCAAACTCAATATGGGAATCTGGTTTAGGCATTGAAGGCAACACCTTCCACTTCATATCATCATCTAGCATGTATACATCACCATACACAACCTGTATAGAAACAAATTTCAACACCAAGTGAACTAATCCTCTCGATTCACACAAACCTCCGTGTCAAAAAATTGACAAACGAGTGGGAATGATTAGACCTAAACAAACAAACTCTGTCTTACATATTAGTCATGGACAACGCAATCAGACTATTTAAGTGTTTTGCGTTATTACCTCATTTCTACGTGAGCATTTGAAAATAGGTGATCCTGGTTTGGCCATAAAGTCGCCTTCTTGACCACCAATAACATAAAGCCGATCTTCAAACACAACACAGGCTCTGCATGATGCAGTATTAGGATACTATGCTAGTACACGACTCGAGTGTTTGAAGAAACAAAATCACTCGGTGGTTCAGTTGATGGAAGTCAAACACCGATGCCGAAAAGAAAAAAAAATCGACACACAGTAACAGTATGTACTACTGTAACTGTATGGCTGTCACAATTAGATATCCAACAACTTCACCAATTCTCCCTCCCTTTTTCCTTCTATAGACTATAGTACGTGTTTAACTCCGACATGATATCATTTTTTTGGTATTATGCCTGTCCCAAGCCAGGATAAAGGAGGAGGGTGTTGTGGTAGGCGTGTGACGGCCAACAGTATCACTTAGTCACATCACATGACATGAATCGAAATATGAATATCGCTATTGGTTGTGATATCATGTATCGATTCATGTTAGCCGACCCCAATATCTTTTGGGACTAAGGCTTGGATGTTGTTGTTGTAGACTATAGTACGTGTTTGAGGGCAAATCATCCATGAGAGCAATTTTTAATAGAGGTTTGGAATTCAGATTGAGGGAGAAGGAGGTTCATGTGAGAAAAAAGAATACCTATGGGGACCGCCACGAGGAATGGGTGTCTCAGGGCGCCATTCGGTTTCTAATGCTTTCCCATCTTTAACTGCAATACTCCAATGCTCTAATCCGGGAGTATATCGGTTCTCTTTGCTCCCACCCATGACATGAAGCCTACCACCCCAAAGTGTTGTGGCAGGTGCATATCTGAAATCCACTTGTTAATAACCTTCATACTTTTACAGAAATCATAGGATCAGCTTGTTAGAATGATCTACATCTAGATTAGAAACTACTAGAGTGTTCGGGATTACTAAATTTCAAGAATTAAATGCTTTTTAAAGGAAGGAAAGCACGTATACTTCAAGAAGAATCGTTTGACAGAAAAATGGAAAAAGGGCTTCAAACCATTCAAAAACACTTCGAATGTTTATATAAGAAAGCATAGGAGTGCTTCTTTTCAAAAAATCACTTAAGTGCTTAAATAAGAAAGCTCTTATGATGAAAACACTAATTACACGAAGTAATTACAAATGAGTCTGCATTAATGATTGAACATGCAATAACTAATTAGCTATGACCTTGGAACATCAAGCTTTCATGCTTCGGAAACTCAAAAATCAAGAGGCCTTAGTACTATGAGAAAAACAGTACTCCATAAATAACTGTTCTATAACTCCTTTATTTCATGTACAAGTTTTAAAGAGACGATCAGCTTCTAAGTTTATGATACCCCAAAATTTCACAACAGGTTGTGTGTTCAGTAAAGGAGTTAAAGAAAATTGCATCATGCATATAACCTTAGATATGACTTGTGATAAAATATATCCCAGACACAACTCTATGTGATAAACATTGAAAGCTAAAACAATTTGAACCCTGATATGTAACCAAATGATGTAGATCTTCTTACCTTGGGACTGGCAGAGGAGGCATGTTCTGCCATTTCTTCGTATCAGTGTCTAGCACAAATGTGTGAGCTGTAGGGCCTCTACACTGGGGACCATATTGTCCATTGACAACATAGATATATCTCCCATCTGTTACCATACCCAAATGTGAATGGGCCATTTTTTGGGGCATATCAAACCTCCCTCCCCATGTGTTATCTGTGAAATTGTATATATCAACATGAGAATGGACCTGTTCCATGAGAGATAACAATGCGGCCCATCAATTTATCTTCAAAGATTGAGTTCAGTAGTGTGATAATAAGTTCAAGGTCATTTTTCAAGGTTTCTTTGTCATGCATAGGAGTAGATATAAAGCATTTTGAAAAATCTTGCATTTAATATTTATAATGTGTTGGCAAGCCAATCTCTAAGAACCAAAAGATTGCTATCCTAAAAGGATACCATAGCTAAGACCTGTTTGGAACTGGGACTTTTATAAGGAAAGAAAATAGGGACAAAAATAGAAGGGATATTTGGAAGGAAATAAAAATGTTGGGGGAGTTAAAAAAATGGTTCAAAAACATTATACTTCGTATCAATTTTAGATATTTGCTCAAACTCTTTCATTTATGTATTCCAATTATACAAAGAAAAAGATCTAAATATGCGTAGTTTTAAAAAGTCTCAAACCAAATTGATTTCCTCTCTTATCTCTTCCCATAGCATTATCCAAGTTCCAAACATACTAACATAGCCCTATTGGTCTAAATTCCTACATTTTCCCTTTCATTAGATTTTGATAGAGCAAGGAATGTGGACTACAAAATGCCACTAAATGAGAGCAGCTAATTGACCACTAAAAATAAAAAGTGTATTATGTCCCACAGGAAAAGGGGTGGGTGTGGTCATTATCCTCACAAAATCAATGGTTCCATATCCAGCGAAGACATAAAGAAGGTTCTTGATCTGTATGGCAGCACCATCGAGACGAGGCACGGGTGCAGAAGCCATCTTCTCCCACTTCAACTCGGGGGCTGGCAAATCTGCAAAAGTAGCGGATAATTTCCTCTCTTTAGTAACATCTTTTTTACCCTTCTCGGTTGATCCCTGTAATAAATAAAGAATGCTTGTTTTGAGCCACCAGATCAAGAAGCGTCATTAGAAAAGTTAGGAATTTGAAAGGCATTGATTAACAATCGTACACGCAGCACAGCAGCAGCATAGAAGTTTATTTAACAGATACTCGTTTGTATAAAGAGAACGTTTGTTAAAGTCCAACACAACTAAGGGGGGAAACGAAGAATTTCATTCAGAAAACGTTAAACTTCCTCTTTATGATTAAATCAAACAGAATGGGGAAAAAATGGAGAAATATCTCAATGAGTGTGACCTTGGGTAGAAGGTTGGTCTGATTTGGGAAGATGACATTAATGGAATCCCGGACAGCCCAGTTAGAGGAAGATGAAGCCCAAAGCAGATCTGCTATGAGAGCTGCCCCCAACAGCCCCACGCATACAAACACCAACTTCGCTGTTCTGGGCTTTCCGGCAGTTGCTCCGCCTGATCTGCCGCCCAATCTCATCTTATCAGTTGCTCGATCTTGCTTCAACCTCCCTCCCTCCGCTCGGCGGAACTTCTGAATTACACAGCTGCTAAAAGAAAGTGTGGATACTGAACCCAATTTCCTCCAATTTTTCTTTTCCTTGTTGTTTTGGTTTTGGTTTAATCCCTTGTTCAATTCCTTAAGAGGGGGAATGACCAAGAATCTGGATGCCTTGCTTATGCTTTATGAAAACGTCATCTATCAGCTAGTTGTTGCCTGGAGCAGACTCGGCGTGAATTTCAGGTGAGGAAAACGGAAGATTTGGCGAAATTGATTTGGGGCTGTTGGGGAATCTGGTGTGTGAACGAAATCAGAGAGTATGGAAGGGCGTTGGTACACAGGCACATCAGTTTATGCACAAGGCAGAAACTCTGGTCACCAGTTGGGTCCAAGTTCAACTTCCTGGGGGTATGCTTCGTACTCCAGTGCAGCCCACGTTTCGGGCTTGGAAGCGACCTGCTTCGGGGCGATTAAAGCTGAACGTTGACGCACCTGTCCGGGGAGATCGTTGAGGTCTTGGCTGAAGTCTTAGAGACGACGGAGGAAGGTTTGTAGCAGCTGCATCCTTGCCGTGGGTGGGCAGGCTGTCTCCTTTGGGGGGCGAATTGATGGGAATACGAGAGGCGCTCAGCTGGCTACAGAGGCATGGTTGGGATGGGGTTGATGTTGAATCTGATTCATCTCCAGCAATTTTGGGAATTAAAAGGGCTCCGGTGGTTCTTCCGCGGGATTGTTAGCGACGAACATTAAAGAAGTGGCAATGAATTTTCTAGCATTTCATCTCCCACGTTCTCCGATTAGCACACAATATAGCTCATGGTTTCAATCTTGGTTTTACGTTCCTGTTGTTTTGTCCGGATAATGAATTAATTAATGATATACGTGGTACAAAGTATTAAGTTTTCAAAGAATCACACAGAAATAATCAATTAAAAAATAATAAATAGAATATTTGTCTCCTTATTTGAAGGATTTTACATCATTTTGGTAAGTTTCTCTTCACAATGTCAAGCACAATGTCTAGATGTAGACATTGTGATTGACATTGAAGACAAAAACTTACAAAAAACACATGAGACCGTAGGAAAGAATGAGAGAGAAATGTTATATAATCAATATTTTGTATCTATATCTCTCATGCCACATGTGCACCGTGCACATTGTAGCATTGAAGATCTCTAATATTACTCTTTAAATTTTCAATTCCAAAAAATATCACTATTTTAATTTTTTCCAAAAAAATGACTAGGAAGATACGGCTCGCAGAATGCAACTTTATCACCCCACAAAAGTCTTCGCATCTTCATCGCTCGCATCGCCTGTGCATCTCGCAAGAGACCTTCAGTCTCTTCTTCTTCGTCGGATTTACTCAAAGGAATCATCGTTCTGTTAGATGGAGCCCTAACATCGTTTGATCACATGATGTTGTCGTTGGATGATATGGCAGCGAGCTTCTCAGCCGCAACCAGTGAACTTCACAGATGAACCGCAACCTCTTCTGGTACAACAACGATGACAGTCCTTCTCTCAACATGTGCCTCTTCTTCTTTCTTCTTCGCATCGGCTCCATCCCGGAATGGTTGCCGTCATCGGCCTTGATTGCTAATGTTTCGAATGGCAAAATTGAACCTCAAACCACACTGAAACTCTAGATCCGAAGTTGGAGGTAGGGTGGGGATGCTCGAGCAGAATTGGGTTGTAGAGGAGGGGTTGGGCTGAGGGATTGAGGCAGCGGTATCCAAGCCAGGGGCGGGAGGGGCTGGGGCTTGGGAGGGTGCGGGCGGTGGTGCCAGAGGTAGCGCCGGGCACTAGGCTGGTGGTCAATGGTTTTGGGGTGCTGGTGCCGGTGGTTGTCGGGGGCTATGGGCGGTGATAAGTGATCAGAGGGCGGTGGCCGGAGTTATTTGTGTGTCACTGTGGCAGTGTCACTATTGCGGCGTCAGTTTGATGGTGTCAATGTGGCGTTGACGGTGTCTGGCGTGAAAAAAAATATTGGCGGTGACAACTCACAATGACATGAAAAAACGAACACATTGACATAATTCTTTGGAGTGACATCATGTTTTCCAATTTCAAATATATTATCTTGTTAATCATTTTTTTGACAATTTGTAAAAGTATTCATATTTTTGGAAATTCAATTCAATTTAGTAATATTAAAGGGAAAATCCCGGGACCCCCTCCCTAGAAAATAAATCTTTGCATTTATTTTACGATAGTCCAATCTAATAGTAATTTACGAACAATCACACATTTGCACCACATCTTCTTTCATCGATTCATGACCGGTTTTGATGACTTGTAATTCTAGTTATTTTATTTTCTTTGCGGATCATTAAACCATAAATTTAACCTTCTACAAATCTTTTCAAAACGTTCCCGCATATTATTTTTCTTTTTCCTTCCCAAATGTTTTATTTCTCTCTTTTTTCTTTATCATCACAATGCTTTTATTCATTTTTCTTCTTTTTTATTTTCATTTATGTACCTTGTTTATGTATTCCTTTTTGTTCACCTCACATATTTTTATTTCCTTTTCTTTTTATGTATTCATATATATGTTGTAGTCTCTTTATATAATTTTGTTCCAGCTACTTGTTTATATTTTTTCTTTAAATTTTTACGAAAAGAGAGAGAAAATACTGGTGGTGGAATCAAGGTAAGAAAAGGAAAACACAAATAAATTAGTAGAAATAAAAACTAAACTAAACTAAAAAATTAGTAAGATGAGAAAAAGATCTTTTATAAGAAGGGAATCAGGGAACTAATCTGGAAAAGTACATAAAAATGGAAACGAAATAATAAATGGAATGAAGAAAAAGAAGGAAACAATTGAATTCATAAAAAAAAGAATATAAAAGTCAAGAGGATAAAAATTAAAAGAAAAAACGATTGGAGAGACTTTTATAAACTTTTGAATTTCTTGATTTAGATACTGTCGTTTTTAAAATAATCTTGACTTGTTTTAAAGTAATGTGACTTGTTAACCACTTTATGTGAAGAATTAACTCAATTTTAACTCAATATAAAGACCTAATGAAAATAGGAATATAAAAAATAAGATCCAATATAGAGAAAACAATAAAGCAAATGTCAAAGATAGCACAAAGCCCATTTATAAAAATAAAAATAAACGAAGAAAATAACAAATTGGGAACGCTAAGGCATTGATATCTTTCCCTACTATCATCTCGCATGTCCTCCGGATAAAATTCTCATAAGGCAGAGCATGGAAAATTTGTCCCACGATAAGAGGTACTCACTTCGTTCCACAAAATAGTTCTCAGTTTCCTTTTTGATCGTTCCAAAAAACAGTTCTCATTTCCCTTTTTGAAAAGTTTTTTGTGGCTACCATTTATTTACCTTTTTCTTACATAACCACAACCACAATCATACATTTTCACTGTATTCTCACTTTCTTAATCTCCGATCCAAGTCAACGCGGGAACTATTTTGTGAGAGGGAGAGAGTAATTAATTAAGTACTACCTCCGTCCCAAAAAGATTGATACATTTTGACTTTTCTTGGTCAATGGTGGTAAAGTTTAGACAATGATTTTAGGTATTATATTTGTTTGTAATTTATAAATTTTATACTTTTATGTAAGATTTTTTAATAAAGAATAAATGTTCATATAATTTTCATATTTTAAATAATTTTGTATTAAAAGATATCATTGATCAAACTTAATCATCATTGATCCAGAAAAGTCAAAATGTATCAATCTTTTTTAGACAGAGAGAATACTTCTTTGAACTAATATCTCCGGAAATGCTTTTTATTGGTCTTCAATTCTTCACACGGAAGTCATAACCTCAAAAGTCGAAATATATCGGAAGTTGATGGAATAGTTAGAGCATCTTTATGTATTACACAATTGACATTCTATTATTTAAAGTAAGTCAAAAGTTCATACGAATATATTTTTTCCTAAAATATTAATTAACTAGTATTCTACCGTCTAGTTCAAGTATATTCTTGTTCTTAACTCCTTTTCACCTCCTTTAAAAAAAACTCTATGGACATTTAAAAATTATTGAGCCAAGTGTAGTAGAGATCGAGCTCTTTTAAATGCCACTCGGCTATTTTACATCTTATTGGGTCAATCCAACAGCAAGTGGAACACGGCGGTCCTGCTTTTCAAGCAAATCGGGAGCGTAAGCTTGAAAATAGCCAAACTGTCGACTAAATCGATGAGGAGCGTAAGGCTCAGCGATACAATAATTTTGATAGCGTAATGTGAGGTAATTAGACCGAAGGCTTCTGAAAAGTGGCAAATCAGCATCAGAAGGATTTTCCCCATCAAAAAATGTGTAGTCTTTGACCCTTCTATGCGTAGAACATACCCAGGATGATACGTCGCCCTGAAAAATCCTTCTACGCGCTCCTCTTTTCTCAAGAGACTTTGCTCCACCTTCTCCCGAGTAGGAGATCATTAACGAGGTCGTGGATTGGATATCATTCTTGAAATGAGTATCAAAGTATGAAGCCAACCATCCGTAAACATAGTGAACAGGAAAACATGTTCTAACTTGATCAGGAGACGGAGCATGTGAGATCTTATTAAGCGCATGATAAATACTGGCAAGAACGGGGACCGCGAGACATATTTTCCTTCCACAAGCCATCATACAAGCAACTTTAAAAATTTCCGGATGGATCACCCTTGGACCTTCGTGGGGCAATACAAAGGTGCAGAGCCAACATGATAGGAACGCTGCTAAGTATACCTCTTCATCATATTCAGCAATAATCTTGAGTACGTGGAACGACACCTTCATAGAATTCGACCACTCGCTAAACTTTGGAATCACTCCGCTTGGGTTATGTGTTACTTTAGCACGGGACGTTCTTTTCTTCTCTGTTCTCGATGGAGGCATAGTGTACTTTGAGGCTTTCTTAAACCAGAATTTGACCCATACATGAATACGTAACAAACGTTTGTCTCCCGTCTTTGGAAAAAGATGATGGTATGCGCCAAATAAGTATTTGCAAAGCTGAAAAGGGCGGTCGGCATTCACCTTCAACATCTCAGAGGCGCTCGGAATAGATTCGTCATATGCATCTCCTATTATTGGTAATCCCCCAATAACGTGCAAGTCCCAAAGCGTGATCATCGATTCACCAATTGACGTAAGTAATGTATTCACCATAGGGCACCACGCTTCACAAAAGACTTGCATAACATTCGTACACCGATCATACGTAAACAATGAGGCATAAACAACATCATAAATAAGCCCTTTCGTTAGAACATTTTTACTCATGCCCAAAACATCTTCCGCCCACGCCCAGTAACCGGTGATAAATCTAAATTCACCACCAAAAAATAGACTTTTGGTGAGAGAGATGCTCTCATCAAGGATACGTCTACCCAAAGAAGGGAGAATGTTAAAAGAGGGTTTTTGAGGAAAGCCAGATATTAGAGTCCAGTCAGTAATACGATATGACACAACAGTCGCAGGACAGAGACCGCGAGCAAAGGGTTTGCAAATCTCCAAATGGATCTCGTTACCATTAGTATTGCCCGTTGAAATAGAAAGAAATCATTGACCTTCATGCTTTATATCTTTGAGGAACACCATTTTGTACTGCAAAAAAATGAAAAAAAAAGTTAGAAAGGGGCAAATAATAAAAATGAGGAATTTGTTGACCCTCGAATCAGGTCTTTAAGCTACTCTCAAGCATCCTAGAGCCTTGGGATTGATCCAAAATTTATAAATGAAGGCCCACATCAATATTTCAAAATTAATAAATAAACAAATACAGAGGAAGAGTTGGTGTGCTCTCAAATAAGCATGACAGAGGACAAATTAAGTCAATCTCCTTGATTTCTCCTAAA